GTTATATATATTCGGTTTCCGGACTTAGTATAGTATTTATACGGGACGTTTAAATACGGAATATACAGGACTATAGAGAGTTTATAGTCCGCTTAAAGAATAAATAAGGTTAATAATATTTTTCTAAGGTAGGAATAATAGAGAGGATTTATTAGTAAATGTTTAAATTTAATAAGTTTAGGTTTTTTAGGGGTAGCGACGGGGTTTTTAGTACGCCCGTAACGGACGGCGGCCTCTTAGGAGGGGGATTAGGAGCCGTACGATAACGGTAAGGACGGGGCCTCGCTCTTAAATAGTTAAGACGAGGATAGGAATAGTTTGGACGAAGTTAAGCGAAATATTTATTTCAATTAAGAAGGGTAAGCGAATAATTAATTAGGGGCTAGTAATATTTATTTTAATAATTTGAGCGATAGTTAAAAAAAAAGAGGAAAAGAGAGAGAGGGGGAAAAGAAATCGGGGGAGGGGTTTTTATATATAATTTTAGAGGTATGTATATATGTATATTATTATTTACTACTTACTACCTTCGTCGGTCGAAATAGAAGGAGCGAACGTATAGAGGGGTAGGAGGAGGGAGGAAGGAGGTAATATTATAGGGCTAAGGCCCGGATTATAGCGTTCTAATTATCGATTAGAGCTATTATAAGGCGCTATAGCTATATTTATATAGCCCCTATTAAAACCTTATATTTCTAATAGAGCCGCTTTTTAAATAGAATTTTCCTTCTTTATAGAACCTTAATTAAGCTATACGACTAGTACTTGTATTAACCATATTGTCCCCATCACAAAGGGGTAATTAGATTTATTTATTTCAAAGGGTAAATTAAATAAATAATGTATACGTTCGATATCTTTAAACTTATAGTTATTATTAGTAATGGGGATATGTAATTAATTAAAGTAATTAATAAAAGGTTCCCTTCGGTATAACAATAATAATATATATAATATCTTAATTGCAATTTTGTTAAAAAATATTAAGAAACTTTGGAAGCGCTTAAATAGTAGTAATAATATTAATAATAAGGATGAGGATAATAATAAGGAAGAAGAGGAGGATTTTAACGAAGAGGAGGAGGATAATAGGGAGGTTACTATTTTAATTACTAATATTATAATTATAGAGGAGGGTAACGTTGCCGAATTTTATTAATTTAATTAATATATACGTATTATAATTAAAATTAAAGTTAAGCTCCCTTCCTTATTAAATAAAGTAGTTAATATTCGTTTAGGGTTATTCTTTATATAGTAGTATATAATTTATATTTCTTTAGTCTTAGAATTCACGAAGGTATATAATATTTTCGTCGGCTAATTCGAAAAGTTATAAGAGGCTATCATTATTTATATTCGGCGGGAATATATATTATATTAGAAGGAATAAGGTAAATACTATATATCGAAATATTTTAATTATAGTTAATATATTACTTCCTTAAACGAATTTAATAACGGTTCCCTAAAATCGTATTACGTCTTTACTCGTAGTAGTTTTACTAATTTATATAAAGCGTACGAATTTTATATTAAGAATTATTATACCTATTATAAGGATGTTATTACCGCTTCGTCCTTACGTATATATATAAAGTAAATTAGTACGAATTAATTAAGTAAGAGAAACTCTATCTGCATATAGATAAAACTCTATCTATACATAAATCCACTTTTTCGTTCATATATTTCCCTAACACTACCCTTCTCCAATTAATTAAAGGTATATTTTAATTCCAATAGCGCATTTGCTCCCCTAATAGCGCATTTGCTCCCCTAATAGTGCATTCGTTCCCTTGAATAAGGTATTCGTATCCCCCTACAGCGTATTCGCAATACGGAATAGCGTATTCGCGACTTTAACACTTAATAACGTATATCTTCCTCTAGAGCAATTGAAATAACGAAAGAAATTAACTGCCAATAGGAGATAATATGCGAAAGTGACTGCAATTGACGTGCGATATAAATATAATGTAAATGCTTTGTCGGAGGATTGAATGCGTTGTCAGGGGATGCGAATACGCTGTCGGGGGCCATGTTGGGGAGTGAATACGCTATCGGGGGATGCGAATGCGCTATTGAGAAAGCGAATGCGCTGAAGTACTTTGGTAGAAGGTGCGGGGCGGTAGGGTTAGGGATTTGTATGCGAAAAAAGTGGATCCACGTGCAGATAAAGTTTCTCTTAAGTAAATACCCTTTTGAATTTAATTTATAGGCGGTAGATTTTTTTAATTGTTAATACTATTAAGTTTTTTCTACCTTCCCATCCTTATATAGTAATAGTACCTCCTTATTCTTATATAATAATCGATTTAAGAAGTAGTAGAATTTATTATATATTTATAATTTCAAGACGGTTATTAGGGAAATTAGCCTTAAAGGTATTTAGGTTATTAAGGAAGATTATTATTTATTTTAGTATTTACGCTAAATTAAGGTAAAGTACTACTACTTCCCCCCCGTTATTTCTTATATTAATACCCTATAAAAGATTCGGTAAATCGATACCTTACCTTTAAATTAGCCCGCCAAGCAATATTTAAAGGTCGTTCCTATAATATAGCTAGCCTTTTTAATAACGAAGCTATCTTCTCCCTTCCTAGCCCGCGTAGTAAATTTAGGAATATTATATTTATACGAGTTTTAATACGCTAGTACTATTTATAGTACGAATTTGGTAATAGTATTGAGGATTTCGACGCTATAAATACGGTTTCCTTATAGCGATCTACGTAGTTTTTAATTAAAAAGAAGGTAGTTAAGAAAGTTAATAAGAAGGTTAATAAGAAGGTTAATAAGAAGGTTAATAAGAAGGTTAATAAGAAGGAGGCGACCTAATTAAGCGAACTTACTTAACCTATTTAAATTAATTAATTAAGGGAGTTTACCCCTATTATTAATTATATTATTTTCCCTAATTTTAAATTTAATTTTGAGGGAGGTATTAATATTAACCTAGATTCTAATTCTAATATTTTTATTTTATTTATTACCTTATCCCTCCCCTCCTCCCCCCTCTTTGTACGGTAATCCTCGTTCCCCGTTAGAGAGTAGTCATTTTTTATAATCCTATATAATAACGCTACTTATTTCGACGGGGTAGAGATCGGCTATAATTCTTAAGAGTTGGATTTAGAGGAGTATCTTATTTTAAATAACGAAAGGGAAATAGAGGAAATATAAATAATTAAAGATAGCGAAACCTTAGAATTATTTATAAAAGAGTAATTGTAAACCTACTTCGTTAAAGAGGTATAATAATAGAAGGAGGCTACTTTTTATACCTTCCTTCCTCCCCTATATTACTTTATAAGGAATTTACTTTATAAGATAAAGCCTTTATATAGGGTTACTTTCGAAAGGGATAGCAAATAGATAGAATAGTATAGAGGTCGTTATAAATATTTAGAATTATAATTAAAAGTAAAGTAGGAAATCGGTCTTTAATATCCTATTATATAGCAACGATAGTATTAAAAGCGGTTGACGTATAACGGTTCTTTTGTTAATAGGTATAGTAAGAAATTCCGTCGTTTATATGATATTTATATAGTATAGGAGTTTAGAAGGAATAAGAGGTGCCGCCGCTAGGTAGATTTCGAGGGGTAGGATTAGGATAATTTAGTAAATAGTATATATTACGACGAGGGTTACGTTGACGACGAGAATAACCATAATCCCTAGGCGGTATAGAGGGCGAGAGAGGGTAGTAAGAATAACCTTATTGTAATTAGTAATAACGAGGAGGAGGAGGAGAAGTAGAATAATAAGGGTAGATATTATTAAGTAAATAAATAAGAGATGGATTTACATTGCACTATATAGTTGGATTTAATTTGCACTTAATACTACGAAAGTATTACGATTCTAGCGGTCCTAATAAATTTGTCGATTTTATTAGGGATGCCAGAAGACACGAGAAAACGCGATTTTACCATACAAAACGACAGTTTTTACATATCAGCTGGCATTGGTGGATATATAGGTGCGTGGAGGAAAACTATGGGTGTGGGTAGGTTTTCTCTTCTTCAAAGGCTCGTCGGTTCTCTTCTCTCAGCCTTCAATCTTTGACCATTGAGCCGTACCTTCCTATTGAGTTATTCCCAGGGCTGGAGTTGTGGGCAAGATGGTGTAGACGCTAAGCCTGGCAACAATTACCCTCAAGGTTTATTACAGCCCCGAGTGTTGGAGCATCTTCAGGAGATTTTGATGCCTGTTGAAAACATACTGGTTGTATGGCCTGTAGCTTTCTCGTTTCCTCGTTTCCTCTCTAGCACAAGGACGAATTACTTCAGGTTTTGACACCATGGAGGTGAGCCGAGAATGAGGTCCAGCTGTTGTCACCTGGTGTTCTTTTCTCTTTCCTTCTCCCATTTTCGTGTTTCCTTCCTCGTCAATTTCTCCTCCCTGACCATAGTCAGAATCTTGCACTATTTTAGAAAATACAACACTTGCCACTTGATGAGTCCACGAAAGATTGTGTCCGTCGTTGTTCCATTCCTAGTACGTACATCCTTCCCAACATCTATTTCCCCATCTCAATCCCCTATACCCTTCCAACCCATTCCTCGGCTGCTGCAATTCAAGACTGTTGGCCTGTGTTCATACTAGCTGTACTTCCCAACTAGGCCATTGCGGTATGTAAACACTCAAGATGGGACGAATCATCATGTTCTTTAACATGCAGGTATCTCACCGGGGTATTGAAAATGGAACGCCTGATGTGTTGAGGCGAGCTGAAACCAGACCGAGGCCCTTCGGACTTGTGGCAGCCACGAGAAGACCAACCATGGTTTTGCGATTCTCAACTAATAACCCAGGCACCAACGAATGGAACAAAATCACGATAAATACCTAGTTACCCCCCAGACACCACAACAACAGAAAGGAACACATAGGCTCAAGCTAAAAGGCCTCCCGTTTCTGCCCTTCCAACATCCTTCTCTTCAACTCTACCAAATGCTCAAAAACTCACACTCAACACTCTTACGACAATGACCCGTCTACCACTCACCACCACCCACGCCCTCCTCGCCTTCCTTTCACTTCCATCCCTCACCACCGCCACCTCCCTCATCTTCCTCTACAACACCCCAAACTGCAACACAACATCCATCAACACAGCCATGATCATCCAAGCCGGCACCAGCTGTCGACCGCAGACTAACGGGAGCGCATCAATCGGCTGGACACTCGACACCCCTTGCGCCGCCGTCATCTTCTACAACGAGACGGGGTGCGCGAATGCAAATGTGCAGAAGGCTGTGGTTGCTGGGACGGGTGGGTGTGTTGATTTTGAGGGGGTGGGTGGGAGTTGGAGGTTTATTTGTTAGTGAGAAAGAGGGAAAGAGGGAAAGAGGGAAAGAGGGAAAGAGGGAAAAGAGGGAAAGAGAAGAGGACACCGATATTGCATAGTGGTACAGGCAGGCACGCTTGGGTCACGGCTTCGGTTTTGATACTGCAATCCATTTAGGTTTGAAATGAATCCTCACGTCCTACGTCCAGCAGCTAGTAACGAGTGATTTGGGAAAGAGCGTCCCCGGGAGAGGGAAGAAACCAAACAATCGTTAACCACACATCAGTCCGTTCCTCAACTCTCCCACTTCCACTTCCTCCAAATCCGCAGTTCAACATCTCAACCCCGCAACACCTCCCTTGATACCAACACACATCTCATCACATCGAACTTGCCCCCTTCGCCTTCCCCACCCAAAACTCCCGTGCCTCGCATTCTTAAATATTCCAAGTCTATCCACTCAAACCGTCAACTGAACCCTCAACCCCAATTTGATCAAATCCACTCCCAAGCTCCCCTGCAACATCCCCACCTCCAACTAGGCCGATCTGGACTTCTTAAAGACACCGCCGGACTCTAATCCAGCCCGCCCGTCGGGCAGCCGGGGCACTCATCACTAGCATGGTGATCACGCTTCCAGTCAGGCCACCCGTCAGTCTTCGAATCCGGGTTGGAGACTCTCCAGTCAGGGGCTCCGGGAGGGGCGTCACGCTTCCAGTCAGGCCACCCGTCAGTCTCTGAGTCTGGCTTCGAGACTCGCCAGTCCGGAGCTCCGGGGGCGGCGGCCGGAGCAGGGGCAGGGGCCGGGATGGCGGTAGTGAGTGAAAGGAGGGAGAGGAGGAGAGTGGTGGAGAGTTTGAGTTGCATTTTGTTGGTTTGGTGGGTTGAGTGGTAGATGATTTTGGGTGAAGGTGTGAATGTGGATCAATGGTGAGTGTTGCTGGTCTCTGAAGAGGCTAGGTCGCTTTGTATGATGTTGGGTTGAAGTTTGTGATGTTGATGACGAGGTTCAAGACCATGGAAAGAGGGGATTTTATGGACTCTTTATACACTTCTCATCGTGTTTTTGGTGGCTGACTATCGCCGTGTGCAGGGGTCGGCTCGGCTTCGAAGATACCTAGTTACCGAGCTTAGCCACCTATAGAGTTGAGGCCATCGAGACTTGAGGGGTGACTGGAGGCGGCCCGGGATGACCTCTTGTCCTACTGACCGTCAATGTTGATGTGGATGCAACTGTGATGACCCAGGTGCTCACATGACAGAGGATGTACACCTTACTAAGTTCCAGGTAAGCCTTGGGGTCGTCTCCCGTGTCGTTCTTGGGTCTTCTTGATCTTCAGCCCCAAAACAGCATGGCTTTAACCTGATGTGTACCCTAGGTACACGTAGTCAAGAGGTATGTGAAAAGTAATGAGCTTAATCACTGCCAGCAGTATACTTACCATTTGGAATGTCGAACATGGGGGTGCTGACTACCTACCATGCGGGTGACAACATCTCCAGGCAACATTTTACCATTTGGGAATTTTCCCCGACCCGTCACACAATGCTCACCAATTTGATGCTGCCAGGGCCAGGGGGAAATTGATCACCCATGTGATCAAGGTGGGTTCTTACTAACGGGACCCAAACTTTAAACTTTTCCGGATGTCGGTGTGATTAAGGTGATTTTTCATAGTGTGGTGCTCGTGAAGTTGCTGGTGCAGGCACGAAAAACGTACCTTCTAGGTATAGATTGATACGACGCTGCCCGAGACCAGGAATAGCCGTTCATTCCTCACCCTGTTCCTCCCTGACCCGACCTTCTCTCCTCCCTCTCATTAAAAGAAGTAGGTAACTCCACAACCCCCGAAACACTGGACAATTCAACCGGTAGAACATGTAACGTGCCGTCCGCGTTACCAGCAGGTCTTGCCCCTCCTCCTCCTCCTCCTTCTCTTCCTCCTCCTCTCCCTTCTCGTCCTCCTCCACGTGCCGACTCTGCCTCTGTCCCAACCTCATACACCTCTCGAACCGTATCCAATTCCGCCACCCCTCCAATCCCCTGTCCCCTCGAACTCGCCCTACTACCTCTACCATCAACAAACCCCTTCGTAGCCGTCTCCTTCAACTCCACCATCCCTTTCATTCCCCTTTGTCTTTGTCTTGCCCGGCCCCGTTTCGATCGCCCCCTCTTGTAAAAGACAAAGAAGCTGCCGCCGGAGAGGAGGAGGACGACGGTGATGGTTATTCCGACGATGGCCCAGACCCAGGGTGCGGTTTTGGTCGCCCCGGGGTTTAGGTTTGCGTTTGGTTGTGGAGTGGACGTCGAACTTGTGTCTGTGGGGGAGGTGAGTGCATGTGGTGGTGTGGATGTCGCTTGCCCCTGGGTTTTTGTTGTGGGGTTGAGGGTGGTGAGGGACGTGGAGGGTGATGTAGACGAGAATGAGGATGAGGATGAGGAGGGGAGGGTGGATAAAGATTGGGGCGTGGAAGTTGAGGTTATGGGTGAGACTGCGGGGGGGTTATTTGTTGGTGGTGGTGGTGATGTCGGCTTCGTTGGTGCAGGTAATGTGGAAGTAACCATCGTTCTCTCCCCTTTATCCATACTCGCACTCGCACTCGTTGATACCATCGTTTGTACAGCAAAACTGGAGGAAGTGCTAGAAGTCTTCTCTGTTGGTATCGCTGTCGCTGTTGCTGTCGTGAACGGATCTTCATTTTGTCCTGTAGCCGGGCCCGGACTTCCCGTTTGACTTTCTGACGAAGGCGCACCGGCAGCTTGTAACTTGCAATACCCAACACACTTCATGAACCTCATCGCGAGACTTGCCTTGATCAGCTCCGGATTCCTGCTGTTATCTTGGATGCATGACTGGCACTGATAATACTGATCAAGGAAGTTGCTCCCCGTACCGCAGAGGGCGGGGGTTAGTGGGTTTTGTTGACATTCTAATTGAGCGTTGCCTGTTGACATTCATTTTGTTAGTTCTCTGGTCAAGTTTGACAGACACTAGACTAAGGGTTCATCGTGTGGCTGGGGATATGTGCAGGTAGAGTAGGCAGAATAAAGACTCGACTACTTACGGCAGAAGTTGGAGCATTGTTCGGGGACGACGGATGTGGCTCGTTTGAATGGGATGTTGTTGAAAGCAGGGTTTTTGATATCATGTGCTGCTGATAGGATTCGCATCTTGATGATGATCCGTCCAAGTGTCAAGGGATGAGAACTGGGAGGGAGCCTTCGACAATACTGAGGAGGAGAGAGTAAGTAGCTGATGACGAGGTTCAGAGAGTTCGATGGTCGAGAACGAAAGTAGAAAAAATTGCTTGGGGATACAGAATGATAGGTTTCACGATGCACAAATCTGTCAACAACTCTCTTTTCGAGTTGTCTCACTCATTCCAGTTTATATTTCCCCAAAATAGTCCCAAGCACAATGTATGTCTCTTAGTGCCGCATGACGATAGTACTGGAGACGCCAAGCCAGGAACTGTTCTTCCCCATTCCAAATCAAAATGTCACGCCTCCCACCCAGCCAGCGGCCACCCTCTGTACGCGAGCCAAAAGAGGCGTCCACCTGCTTGTGTTTTCCATAACTCTTCATGTTCGTCCAGAGTCCTGACATGCAAATATCAATTTCCACAATGCATATCGTATTGTTTCCAAGGAGGAACGGCCATCTCCTAGAATCGTGGGGATGTTTGGCAAACTCATTATGTCGGACAGGGGTCTGAGACTCGGTGGTGCAGGCACTTGGGCAAACATTCAGACACCATCGTCATACGGGCTGTACCGTTCGGTACTCTGATCCTGGTTGGCTACCTATTTGTATGGCTCAGGCCAATAAGGCTGATTAATGGTCAGGGGACACGCAAACATTGGGAGGGAAGGGGCGTACCTTGCAGATGGCACCTGCAAAAAACCATATCGCAACTCGGGTCCCGTCATACACCCATACCAGAGTTCGAGTGCTGCACCTTGCTCGTCAACCATAACTTCCTCCTCCATGTTATTCTTTATGCCAATCTCAAGTGGTACTGACCTCCATACCATACAGATGCTTCATCGTAACTTGATTGAGATAACCACTTTAGCAGGCAGTCTTTTGGAATGGGCCAAGGTTTCCAGTCGGTAGTATGAACATGGTACGAGAAGATGAAGCACACTCACTCACTTGCCTCGTCATCCCAAGTCCCAGCCAGTCCCAAGGGGTATATAGGTCAGGTTCTTGGCACCCTTTTTCCGTGGTCCGCTGGTGTAACTGGTAAACACGCTTGGTCTATATGCTCGTTCTAAACAGCTACTCGGGTGAACCCGTGAGGGATCAGGAAACCGCCGGTTCGACTCCGGGGTGGACCACTTTTTTTTTTTTGCCTCTTTTGCCCCCTTTTTTTTTTTTTTTTTTTTTTTTTTTTTTCCGCCGAGAGACACACACGCATTTGGATTTGTTTTCTTTGACATTGTTGGTTGATTGGAGTTTTGCGTGTGCTCGTTGTTTTAAAAGGCTTCGTATTTCGATCAGGTCATCCATCCTCGCTTCCCAGCTGGCTGCGGTAAGGGTCCCTCCCGCTCATTTGGCTTTGACGCAATATCGATTGGCAGCAAAGTTCGGGTCGTCAACTCGGGAAATATGTCCAACAATTTATGTTCGTCCGTCTAGTGATATTGACGGTATCGACGTTAAACAAACAGCCCCTTGACCATTTCCTGGTCACCCTTTTAGATATGTCCCGCTTCTGCTTCTTGAAAACGTCAAGATCAACGGAATAGTCGCTGCGAGGATAGGTACTGACCGCGCTACAACGCAAGGGTTACGGAGACTTTGTTGACTCCTACCCGTGTATGGATTTTTCATCGTAGTGGAAGCTGGACGGGGTGTTGGACTTAGCGTGGGTCTGGTGTAAGTCATGATAATGATACGTGATAGGCCGCCGATGGAGTTTGAGACCGTATAGGTTAAGTGCCCCTTCGTCCAAAGATGCAGCAATCTTTGAATCGCGCTCGACGGAGGTTTCGGCGACCACCTTAGCCTCGTGCCTCTGAATTTGATAGCTGACGCATTCCAACACTTGTCGACCTAGTGTTTGATAGGGCCCCGCTTTTCAAATAGCGCGGTATCTTTCACAATAACCCTCAATTGCAGAAACAGTGATTGGGATGCCGTCTTCGTTATGCATGTTGTCAAATAACTGGAAACGGCTCGAATGATGCATCGTCAACATCCGAAATCGACAACGCAAAAGTCCTGCGTAGGGTATGAGGAAGCGAATCTCCAGCTAATACAAGTTGGGAGTGTGGTTGGAAAACAAAAGCACATAGTTGATTGATTCTTTCAGAGAGAGTTTCCGCAAAGGAGGAGTAGGAGAAAGGAACAAGTGGAAAAGAATGACAGATGTCGTCCTTTGACGTTGGGAGACGCGTCGACCGCGATATCTCCACTTATATCCATTCCAAGACCCACAGTGCATGCGTGGAGTTGAAGCGCACTAACAATTGATGCTTGGCCAATGAGACGCGGAGGATTCAGAGCATGGCGAGAGCTTCGCGCTGGCCTTCACGAACTCACGTGCAAGAGGACAGAGAAGGCATTTCGACACGGCATTGCCGTCCGTGACGAAAGCAACAAAGATGTTGGACTTTGATATGCCTTTGGCTCTGAACTCCAAGTCAGATACCCAAGCGCCAGTGACTACATCAAGGACACCTACTAGATGATGATCAAATCTTCCATCCAGCCCAGGGGTATCAGTCCCTCCTCAATCCCTTCTTCACCAACACCGCAACTCTTTTTGCACACAGATATGGTATCAGTATTGTAAGATATCTTCCCAGGTCCCCACGACAGCTCGGCCTTTCTTTTCCACGACATGCAACACACCACGGAAACTTTTTTGTCGACTAGACAACTCAACCGAGAAAACCACCAACAACAACAAAGGCTCGGTGGATCGTCTGATAATTAGGTACACAGGAAAAGAGACGAAAAAAAAAGAGAACCTTCATCATGCCTGCCAACCACACACACACGCTGAGAGAGATAGTAAGAGTCTAAATCAAGCTAGAAATATCCATGTCAGCCGTAACCACCCGCCTGTCTAAAATTCCCAAAGACCGAGATTCACTTAAATACCAAGGGTGAACTCAACGCCGACATCAATGTCACGAGCTGGTAAACAAAGAGTTAGCACATGTTTTGCTTATATACAGGGTGCAAAATAAACTTACCCATCTTGACAACCTTGGAGAGCTGGACAGACTTCTCAGCAGCGCTCTGGAGATCGTCGATGGAGAAGATCTTCATGCCAGAGTCGTTGATGAGCTGGTGGGCAGCCTCCATGTTGGTGCCCTGGAGACGGGCAATGATGGGAATCTTGAGGTCAAGAGACTTGACCGTGTTGATGAGACCGTGGGCGATGGCGTCGCAGCGGACGATACCGCCGAAAATGTTGACAAAGATGGCGGTAACCTTGGGGTCGCTGGTGATGAGCTCGAAGGCCTCCCTAATGGCCGCGGGGGTAGCACCACCACCGACGTCAAGGAAGTTGGCGGGCTGGCCGCCGTTCAGCTTGATAATGTCCATGGTAGCCATGGCGAGACCGGCACCGTTGACGAGGCAGCCAATGTCACCATCGAGCTTGATGAAGTTGAGGCCGGACTGGGCGGCGCGAACCTCATCGGGATCCTCCTGGGTGGTGTCGCGGAGCTTGAAGATGTCGGGTTGCCTGTATTCAGCGTTGTCATCGAAGCCGAACTTGGCGTCCATGCACATGACCTTGTGGTCAGAGGTCTCGGAAAGGGGGTTGATCTCGATCTGGGTGGCATCCTTCTCGCAGAAGATCTTGTAGAGCTTCTGGATGGTGTCCTTGGCCTCCTCGACGCACTGCTCGCTGAAGCCGAGCTGGGTGGCGATGCCGCGGGCCATCTCGTCCGTGACACCAACGTTGATGTCGATGTAGGTGGTGTGGATGGCGTCGGGGCTCTCCTTGGCAACACCCTCAATGTCCATGCCACCCTGGGACGACGAAACAATGACGGGGCCCTGAGAAGCACGGTCCATGAGGACGGCGAGGTAGAACTCGCGGCGGGCGAACTTGCGCTCGCAGATGTAGACGGCGTTGCAGAGACGGCCCTGGGGGCCGGTCTGCTTGGTGATGAGCTTGTGGCCGATCATCTGCTCGGCGAACATCTTGGCCTCGGTGGGGGAGTAGATGACGCGAACACCGCCCTTGAGGCCGTTGTCGAAGGTGCCCTTTCCACGGCCACCAGCAAGAACCTGGGCCTTGATGACCATGTCCTCGCCGCCAATCTTCTTTGCGATGGCCTCAGCCTCGGCGCCGGACCTGGCAACATCACCCTTGGGGACACCGATGCCATACTGTTTTGTGTGGTGTCGCGTTAGAATCGGAGCGTTTCGATGGAGTCAGGTAGCGACGGGGCGGGGTAGTAGAGGTAGAGATAAGCTAATTCTATGGACGAGAGCTGGGTGTACTGACCTTCCGGAGGAGATCAGCAGAGAGGTATTCGTGAATGCTGAGGGCTCTCCTTTGTTGTTGGGAAACGCTGGGGAGTCTGGAGGTGAGGGGAGCCTGTGTTTGGAAGATGTTGTCAGCTTGTTGTTTTGGTTTCCTCGAAGCCAGAGAAGAATGCGATGCGACGGTGCATGAGACCTCAAGGCTGGGGGGCGGCGACGAACCTTGGAGGCGGCAGCAAAGGCAGAAGCCAATGCGCGGTTGCGGCCGAGCTTGAACATGATTAGGATGTGGTGGATGGGATAAGGTAGAGTATGAGGTGGGTGGTGATGGTGTTGGGAAAAGTTGGATTTCAGGGACTGTGAAAATGACGATGCGACACTTGGACGAGGGGACTGGACAAAGCTCCCTTCGAGTTCTCGCTGTTGGAGACTTGGAGTGTGGCCCTGATTAGGACTGATTAGGACTGACTTATGGGCCTGATAACCTCGTCGGCCCTACCCCAGCCAATCATTAACAACTTTGCCGTCGTTTTCCATTTGGAGAACAGCAAGCTCCAGCACAGCCAGCACCAGCAGCTCTTTGCCTGCAGCTCGCGGCAGTTGCACGCGGCTGGTGGCGAGCAACACAGGGTCCGTGCCTCGTGCGCCTATCCTCGGCCAAACCGGCTTCCGGTGGGATGAAAATATGGAAGTTGAATTACAAGATTGAACAAACAAAAACATCACCAATTCCTTCAATGAACTCCAACTTACACGGGTCGCGATAAACATTGCAATGTTGACAATGACGTCTAAGGGCCCCGCTTGCCACACTCAATGGCAAGCTCTCCCCGCGCATGTTGCTGACATTTACCTTGTTGACAGGTCCACTGACTCGAGCAAAGTACATGAATCCGATCCATCCCGGCGAGTCCGCAAATCGTCTTTATCGGCTTCTCCAAATCATTATCGTCATGATGTTGAACCCCGACGGCAGGACAGCAGTCGCGGTCACTCATAGTCTGAAAATATCCCAACTCAGCTGCAAAACTTTCCAATTTCTTCATCTCATTCTCGATACTCAACCTTGACACGTTCAATACCCCCATCGCGCCCCCCTGGACCCACGAAAGCTTGTCATGTCCGACCTGACTCGAGCTCTCCGCGCCTTGCGGGGCAAGGGGAATGACGATGTCTCCAAGTCCCCAGACCCTCCCGTCCAAGCCCAAGACCCCATCCGGGGTCAAGCGGAGCTCAAGACGCACCGAAGGATCCGCCAAATCTTCCATCACATGGCTTTTTTCATCACAGCTTTCTCCCATGTTGCACGACTCATGCGCCCATTCGTGGCTTTGTGTGGCTTGAAAGTTGAGACGACCGCACCAAACCTTATCTCAACCTCTGAAGTGGAAGCCTTGGGATGCTGGTGTTTAAAGGTGATGAAAACACTTTGCTGCTGCCATTGGCCAACACTCCTTTTGAGCTCGTGCAACCCACCTTTACAACTCTTCCCCCGCATTATATCAGCTCCTCAAAAAGGAAGATCACCATGTCTTTTGACAAGTCTCTCATTTGTCCACTGCCGCGGTTGAGCTTGGCTATTATTTGCATGTGGTCACCACTCCTCACCACTTAATACGACGTGATGTAAGTCATCCTTCATTATGAAGGCGGTTGGACACTTCTCTGCTCCATCACGGCCTCATCATATCAACCCCTCAAACCCCCAAGTCGCATTATTCCTTTTTGAGTTTTAGACTTGAGTGCATATATCAAGGGTTTAAACCACCATGTTCCAAGCACTCATTTCCCTTGACTCCAACCAAACATGGGCCGTCCTCTTGGGCTTCGTCGTGGTCCTGTTCATGGGCCGAAAAGCCTGGGTTGACTACAAAATTCGCAAGACCGGAGGTGTCAGGTCTTCCGTGCTGGCTACAAATCCCATCACAGGTAAAGTTACCTGCTTTGAATGATATGACTTGGGCGTGTCTGACAAGTGACAAACCGCCAGGTTTCCGGTTCTTCGTGAGGGCTGGCTTCATGCAAGCACGCGATAAGCTCGACAAGTTCTACGATGAGTTCTACTACTGGGCTACCCCCGAGTGTCCCAACTGCGTCGAGATCGCCTTCTTCGGTGGCGTCCGCTTCTTGATGACTCAGGAGCCCGAACATGTCAAGACAGTACTCACCTCCAAGTTTACAGACTACGGCAAAGGACCGGAATTTCACGAGACATGGAGCCCTTTCCTCGGGGACAGCATCTTCACAACCGATGGTCAACTGTGGTCGGACAGCAGGGCTCTGATCAGGCCCATGTTTATCAAGGACCGAGTCCGTGACCCCGAGATCTTCGACAAATGGACCAAGACCCTCATCGACAAGCTCCCAGCCTCTGGTCAAACCGTCAACATCATGGACCTCTTCTACCGGATGACACTAGACGTCACCACCGACTTCCTCCTCGGCAGCAGCGTCGACAGCCTCAACAACCCCAAGCACGAATTCGTCGACGCCTTCCAAGAAGTCCAGCGCATCCAAATGATGCTCACCATCCTCGCCCCCTTCCGCCACCTGATCCCCAAGTACCGCTACAACCGGGGCATCTGCATCCTCGAGCGATTCGTCGAGCCCTTCATCCAACGCACCCTCGCCCTCCCCCTCTCCGAGCTCGAGGACCTCTCCAAGTCCTCCTCCGACTTCACCTTCCTGCACTCCCTCGCCCGCCGCACCCGCGACGCCAAGGTCATCCGCGATCAGCTCATGGCCATCCTCCTCGCCGGCCGTGACACCACCGCCGCCACCCTGTCTTGGACCATCTACGAGCTGGCGCACTACCCGCGCGTCTACCACAAGCTTCGCAATGAGATCCTCGCCGTCGTTGGACCCTCCCGCGCTCCCACGTACGAGGACCTTAAGAGCATGACGTACCTGACCCATACCCTTAACGAGACGCTGCGACTGTATCCTGCCGTCCCATACAACCTTCGCGCTGCATTGAAGGATACTAGTCTGCCCGGGATCAAGGGACAACCGGATATCACGGTGTTGGAAGGCGACATCGTTGTGTACTCGGCGTTGAGCATGCAGCGGCGACCGGATTTGTATCCTGCGGTTGGTGAGATCGTTGGAAAAGGGGCAAAGGGACAGCCGTTTGAGGATCCCAGTGTCTTCAGTCCTGATAGATGGGACTACTGGACGCCTAAAGCTTGGAATTACGTGCCGTTTAATGGGGGACCGAGGATCTGTGTGGGACAGAACTTTGCTATGACCGAGATGGCGTTTGCTTGTGAGTCTTGTTATTCTCTTTTCCCTTTTGCGCCTTGCACCCCCCGTTTTTATTCCATTTTTATCTTTATTTTCTGTCATAGTTGATCTCGCGGGCTCAGGTTCCTAACATGCGCCGCTACAGTGGTCCGTCTTCTACAGAAATACGACCGGCTCGAGTACAGGGGCGATTGGCACGCGCAGTACCACAAGGCTGAGATTGTCGGCGCGCCGGGTCATGGAGTTCCTGTTGCGTTTTTTGAAGCTCAGGAGGGCGATGTTGCGTGATTTGTGTTAGTCGATGTGTATTCATTGGACTGTAGGGCCCTTTTTGTACAAGGGGCTTCGACGAAGTCTTCGTATTGTCCCTTCCTCAACGTGTTTCCGTTCACTAGTCGTTCTAGAAGCCGGAAGTGCCTGGGTCATATTCTGATGAAGATGTAATCACACTGCATCGTTAGGGTGAGATCGACACAGCATCACCAGTGAACAGTGGCAGCTGAAGTGCTCAGCCTCATTACGATTCCTGCTTGTTGGGTTAGGACTTTTTTTTCTTAGTGATCAGTCGGGGGCATTCGGACTTACACTTCTTCCACCAGACCATTTTCTCTCTCTTGAGAAAGAGCAATCCACAGCGTGGGCCGCCTCCCTCCCGGCGTCTTAATGCCCCATTCCTGTTTTGTTTTCGGAGGTTGAGAGTTGAGACTGCCGTCGCTTTAAGCGAGAAGACATACGGCAAGCCCTTTCTTTCTTATCACTAGGTAGCCAACACTCTTGAACCATCAACGATCCTCGCCGTTTGCCTCTTTTCCACCTCCATCCTCCGATGAATTTCCAATTTTGCCTCCACCACCATCTCGGCAGGTAGCTCAATCGGCCTCGCCATCGTCCCGGTACCTGTAAGGGTATTGTCGACAGCCAATTCAACCGGCCTAACACTCGAATCAAGTTCCTTCGGCTCGATGGACTGCGCGTACAACGCCTTTGATCGTTTTGCAGCAGCAGCGACGGAACTGCTCTCCCCATGCAACTCCGGTTTATCTCCAGTCCGCCAAGTAGAATCGCCGTCGAGCTCGTGTGAGTGTGAGTGTGCTGACGCCTTGCCCAGCTTCCACTTATTTTTGAAGAATCGGAGTTTTCCCTTTCTGTATAAGAACAGAAGGATTCCGAGCCCGAGAAGTGCCAAGGCTAGTACGGCACCGACGATGGCCCATACTCAGGGGCTAAGGCTGTGTGTTGCCTCTCTGGTGCTGGGTTCGTCAGGAGTTGGATTGGTTGTAGTTAGGGGTTGAGAGGAGGTGATGTTGCTGGCTTGGGGTGATGAGTTGGCTGTGATGGGGAGTTATAGGTCAGTTTTGGCTTTTTGTTCCATGGGGAATACCTAAAACTGCGAGTGTACTGCCGTTACTGGACTTGTGCAAGGTTCGGCCATACCTGTTGTTGTTGCATGTGACATGGATGTAGTAGTGTGGAAACCAGTCCAGTCGGGACGAAGAACCGTGGTATCAACCAGCACGGTTACAGTCACTATAGGTCCATTTTGGTTCGTATACGTGGCTATTGCCCATGTTGTCGTCGATTTATACCATGATGGGTCAATATTTTTTTGCTCTCGGCAGTACGAGATGTACTGTGAGAATGTGGGGTCAAGATAAGCGTTGACAGCTTCCCTGGGATCTTCAGCAGCTGTAGCCACAACGCATGAGTAGCACTCCTTGTAGGAGCGCATGAAGTGACTATTATCAGAACATAAACTGGGAGATTTCCCAACGTCCCGTGCTTCGAGATACGCGTCGTCTAGTTGAAGTTAGTAACAGCACCATTAAAACGAATTTAAGGAACATAAAGACCTAGACATACTGCAGCTTGAGTAACACAAGGCGGGTGGACTAAGATCCATCCTCGCTGCCACGTTCACGCGACGTTCCGGGCGTAGCAAAGTGATAAACTGCATTGTACGTAGTAGATTTTAAGTGTCCAACTGACCTTTGGAAGCTACACAAACAGCAGATTTAAACGACGAGGAAAGAGAGAAAAAGAAAAAAAATCAGGAAAGAATAGATCGAGCGGGGATTCATGCGGGAAAATGCTTCCCTTCTTATTGAGAGCCGGCGAAAGAAGGATGATAGTTCGTGTGACGAGATCTGTAGATAGCCGCAATATAATGCACGGGTAGGGACGGCGTCGTATCTGAACCTAGACGTGCGCGTAGCCGAGAGCCAGTTCGCGGGTATCAAGTATTGTTCGCCACACGCTTGTACTATCCCAGTAGACTGCAGTGCTCCATCGGCAGGTCAATCCTCTGGCTGAAGCTCAAAAACCCATACAGAAGCGTAGGTATTGGTGATGAAATGTGCGGTTCACTGTTGTGACTCGTGAGTGGAGCTACCCCAACTGGGCTGGACATGAGGCGACCGCCTACAAACCCCGGACGTCTGCATCTTCTTGTGTCGCGCAGTCGAGAAATTGGTTTGGGATAGGCCGGGAGTTTCTGTATCGGGGAAAACTGCTGAGTGTCTTCCAAGCCCTCTGCTAAGGATCGTGATAGTATCCCTGGCAGCAGCCATCTCCAACGTACCTCCGGCAGGTTCAACAAAGGTGGCATAGGCGAAGTATCATGTGATAGCAATCCGAGGCCCTAAACTGAGTAAGTGGAAATTCAATATATATTGTAGAAGCTCAAGGATATGATAACCTGATGTGTTCTCGTTAGCTTTGTGTTTGTAGATGGGGATAATTGTACTTACCGTACAACCCACTCACTATTGTCAACTGGGCCACCCATCACTTTGAGGCCCGGTGACTGCTCATTCTCTTTCCATTCTCGCCAGTCTTCACCTCCTGCTTGCTAGTTGTATGCTTAAAAGGGTTGGCTTGCTGTGTTGTCATCCCAGTCCAGTGTCGACGATAACCTGAGCTCAGCAATTTACCAATCTCCGGGAAATCCCGGCTAGAGAATCCTGATGGTTTCTTCGACGGCACCAGTTTCGAAGACGCTCGGCCTGTAGTCCCAGGTATTGTAGTCGCTGACTGCTGCATCCACCATATCTTGGCTTAACACCGTCCCGCCATAATTCACTATCCACTCCCGATGTTCTCTAGCTATCCCGACACGCACGTAATCTGGCACGTAGTCTGTTGACGAGCCATGAATTTTTTGCAAGAGAAGTGCGTATTCGATATGGACTCTTCCCTTTTCGAAGCTTCCACGCGTCAGCCGAAAAGACTTGATTTGTTGTGAAGCAAGGTATTCATGAAGTGAGTTATTCGACATTTTGCACTCCGAATTATCAACATCCAACGATGCATTAGTTGACACCACGTGTCTGAGATTGGTGACATGGTCGGGGATTATGATTGAACGGCACCCGGTAAAAAGGCAACTAGATGCATCAGCCAACTGTCCAAAAACGGTCAAGGATGCAGCTGAGAGTTTTCCCGTAGGATCGGCAGTGGCCGGGAGGATTGATACGTCTCGCAAAGTGAATAGTTGTGGAAAGTTTTGCGGTGTCTGGTCAGCAAATCTACCATTAAGCCCATGGCCGTATAATACCGGCCCATCCCATGCAGCCCATAACCAGCTAGGAGCTCGCCAGGGTTTGGCTCTTGTAGTGACGGAGTCGTTGCTTTTGATATAATCAGGTGGGCACTCTCAGAGTAGGTCTGTAGTTAGCGTGTCGCTCCAAAGACCTGCAAGATAACGAGCCCCAGCTCTGTGCTTTGCCATTTGCTGAGCAAGGCCGGAGATTGCGGGGAGCTTGTCAGAAGCGAAAGAAAGCGCTGACTGGGAGTATGTCTCGATGAGATTTCTCCACATGTTGGCCTTCGTTTCGATTGAGTTGGAGCTGATTGCCTCGTGATGCTTGGTTTTCTCGACATGTCCAGATTTAAGCTGTCTTTCGGGAAACTCAGCCAACCATCCCCCGTTGCATTCCAATACTACGCCAGCTGGCAGGAAGTGGACTACCCTGGGAGACATTATCCGCTCCTGCAAAGCCCAAGCTCTGTGGAGGAGCGGTGTATCTCCTTTAATAAACCCTTTGGTCGGCTGTGCAACAAGCGATATCTTAACAGGTGATTTGTCCGCCGTGAAGCCAGTCATTTTGAAGAGTTCTCGGTTTTCCCAATACTTGAGCCCTCCGTGACAGTCCGGCGATGATGTTGCAGCAATCGTGAGATAGGAATTTCCATAAACATTGCACATGTCGGCTGACTCTCGCTCCCAATCTTTATCATCATGCTGTATGATGCAAAGTGAATCAATCCAAAGAAACTGGACACCTAAGCCCCGAGTAAGCTGGATTGCATCTTGGAACGTTTTGGGTATGCTGTCCCATGCAATAGATGTCAGATGTCGTGAGTAATTTTGCCTTGTTGTTTCAAGCGGTTGTTGCGTGCCCCAGCAATGACTTAAGCAGTTATACTTCTGTACAGCCGTCTGCAAGAGTTTTGTCTCCACCAGGCGAACTTCACCAGATGTTGATCCCACGTCTAGTAGTCGGCTAGGGGGAGGTGCTTTATTCGAAATGCGACAGGACTTCGCATGATGCTTAGCACAGTCATCTAGACCTCTAGATATCTTTGCGACGAGATCGAATTCGAGCTTTCGTTTGTAAGGTGTGGGAATGTTGGAGACCTCAAACGACTGGTCTTCCCATCCAAAGAAGCCTGCGTAGGTGCTAGCAAATGACTTGGACATTCCCCATGGACAGGGTACATCCTCGGTGCCTACAATTGCACTTGGTATCAGTAAATCATTGTCTTATACGACTCTAGGATGGTATTATGAACATTGCATGATATGAGGATGCGTCTGCATGTTCTTGTACTTAATTCATCCTTGGAATTGGTAACTCTCAGTTGAAGTGGCATTCCCGGGCGTAAGTCAAGTCTTCAAGATATGCCCAAACCGTAGCAATAGCATTATCTGTTTCGGGACGGTTGCGAACAAATATCTTGTATGCCGCAAATAGAATTCGACATAGTCCGCATATCTCAGGCTCTAACTGCTGTATCGTACGAGATATACGACGGCCGGAATATTTATGTTTCTCGGAACGGCAATCTTCACAGTTCCGGCACGGCGACTGGGGCAGAGGCTCGGCGGTAACTTCCAGCGGATCACCGGAGTCGGATGGCTTCCACCAAGGGCTCAAGGACTCTGCCGAGAGTGTTCCTTCAGGCCATTCCCCGCCAGCAATGAAGGCTCGGCATCCGAACTCGTTCGTGTCGGCTGAGGATTGCTCTGGTCAGTCGTGCATCGTCTTTGATGAGCGGGAGTCTGTTGCGTAGATGGAGATGTTCCGAGGTTGTGTATAGACGCCGTGGTTGTTTGACTTCGCGTGGCTGGGAGATGAGGTCGAAGTTGGGCGGTTGGGCAGTTGGGCAACGTAGGTAGGTGAAGAGGGACGGGAATCCTGCCTCAGGCTCTCAGCTGGGAAATGTCGCCCGCCCACTCAGACTTCCCTCCTTCCTTGATACACAGCATGTTCTCCTCCAATCAAGACAAACTTGGCCCAATCGGATTATCGGAAGGCACGACGGCTGAGGCCATGCCAGGTGCCACCTGCCTCTGTTGCGCTTACCTTACGAGGCTTCTTTCGAGGATAGCGAGAAGAATGTCGCCTTGTGATTCCCTGATCGCGGTGGTACTTCAAATTTTCGACATCTTGCTCGAATTCCGCCCCGCTTTGATGAACGAACAAGATCCGAGGGGATGGACATCGATCTCGCCCCCCGCCCTTCTAGGGTAAGAGCGTTCCCGCAGCGGGACAACCCCGCTAAAGGGTTTGGCTTTCAGTGAGTGATCTCGCCCACTGTACCGCTAACGTCCGGAACCACCCGACATCCGAGTCGGGACGTTTGGTCGTACCCGACATGACTTTACCCTCTTCCATACCTATGGAGTCTTATTTTCTCGTACAATCATGCCACCGAGAAATTGCCCTACAAACAAACAAATTCCGCGTACGCAGTCCCTACCGGCAGTGTTGAACCCTCTCTTTCTTTCCAACTCGGCTCCGCATACAACCTGCCCCTGGCAGTGACACCGGATGAGACGGAGCGGGCCGGGAGCGGGCCGGAGCGAGAATGGATACAGCTTTCGATCGGGTCGCCGGTGGATGATGAGTGGTCAAGAATATCTCCGGGGTGTTCTACCCGTCAATTCAAATATCGCAACATTCACATATTCACCTGGAGGTTACCATAGCCTTCCTGTCATTCGGCCATCAACTCCTAAACGATCTATACCAATCACTTCGCCCCATGCTTCTCATAGATCTCCTTCTCAAAATCCTTGATCAACGGTTCAATCAGCGGGTCAGCCGGGTCCAAACTCTGCGCCCCAAACACTCCACAGACACCGGCCTCTCGATCGACGAACTGTTGTTCACACATCAATGTTAGCGAATATTCCTTTTCATCAAGTTCCAAAACAAGGAAACAAAAGAAAACTTCAAAACTCACCCAATTCAAGTTAAAGATCCCTCCCCACCCCAGATACCCTCTCCTCCTCCACCTCCCACTACTTCCGTCTTCTTCCTTCCCCGGTTCGCCAACCAACAACCCGCCCGCACTCCAATCATACACCAACCCCTTTCCCTCGGCCGGCACCTCCACATAACCAATCACCCACTCCGGCGTCTTCATATCCTCATTTATCGCCTGCCTCGCTTTTTCCTCCTTCAACTGCCCCTCAAAAAGCAACTTGGCCGTCTCCTTTTTGAGCAGTCGTTCATCATCCACCAACAACGAATACACCACCTCGCAATAAGCGCTCAGATCCGCAAACCCGCCTTGCCCACCGAACGCACAGCGATCAGCCGGCTGCATCAGTTGCGGGCTATCAATGTGTCGAGTCTTTGCATATCCTCCTCCCGTTGTCTCGACAGGTCTCTTCCCCATATCCGCCACCCTTTCCCTCTTTTCTTGTTCTTGTTCAGAAGGCCACACCCGCTCAGGATAAAACGTGATCAACCCTTTCTTATAATCCAACCCAAACAACCTCTTGACCAAATTCTCTTGCATCCAATCATCCAGTTTTGTGGCTGTCACTTTCTCCAATAGCCAACCCGCCCAATCAATCCCGCACCCATACGCCCACCCCTCGCCCGGCTCAAACAGCAGCGGCGTCGAGAACTGCTCGGGCACCGTCGACGCAAAGGACGTTCCCGGCGTATGCGCTTTCCTGTTTTCTTCCCGCTGGGCGAGTTTCCACTCGTGCCAGGCGACCAGCGAGGGTTGCAGGAAGGTGTAGCCGCAGCCGGAGGAGTGGGTTAACAGATGGCGGATGGTGATGTGTTTGGACCTAGTTCTAGTGGCGAAGGGGTCGGTTGTCGTTGGGGAGAGGATGGGGAGGGAGGCGAGGTCGGGGAGGTAAGTTTGGGGGAAAGAAGGGTCGGTGACGGGGGTGTCGAGGCCTAGGGGGAAAGAATTGGCGTAGGAGGAGGAGGATTCGAGAAGTTGGAGGACGGAGATGGAGGTTAGGAGTTTGGTCATGGAGGCTAGGGCGAGGATGGTGTGCGGTGTCATGGGGCGCGGGTGGGAGGGGGAGAGGGAGGCGTGCCCGTGGGCGGAGGAGTAGTTGAGGGTTCCTGTGGAGGGTTGGTTAGTATGGGACTATGTATGGGTGACGGTGGAAAGTGGAAAAAAGGTAAGGGAAGGGAAGGGAGGAAAAGACGGACCATCTTTGTTGCGGGCGTAGAGGACTACGCCGGGGACGATGCCGTCGTCGATAGCCTTTTGGATGGTGGTTTCGAAGTTGTAGGTGGGTGCCATGGTGAGTGAGTGACTGAGGTGTTCGTTGAGACTTTACTTCTTCTTGGTGTGTGATCGATCCTTGGCAAGATGAGGTAAGTGAGTGCCGACCTGATGAGAGACCGCCAATGAACTAACTGTCAGTGAATCTCAAGAGGAAAGGGCAGTACGTAGTATGAGGATGAGAACAACAACAAAAGACAAGAAGAGGGTTCAGAGAATTTATATAAACTCCAACATCATCTCCCGGCTCACAAACAACTAAACAAACAGCCTAATGTTACCCTGCCACCCCTCCTTGCATACCCATATCTACATCCCGCTAGGAACCATAGTGTTCCCGCTAGGAACCATAGTGTGATGATCAACGGGGTTGACGATCTCGAGAAAGAGGGGTCGTTTACCGAACAGAACGAAGCATTGGATGCAAGCATGCATGCATGTCTCATGCAGCACTTCCCGAGTCCCGACCGCCGAATGCGGTGCGGGGGAAAGAAATCGGGGCGCCTTCTCATCACCCACCTAGTCACATCCATCAATGGGATTCTCTCAACCCGCATTGTTTTTCCGAAGGCTGAAGTTCGACAGGCTTGTCATAGATTTGTAAGCGCTTGTTAGGTTGTTCGGTTTAGATTTGGAGGGAAATACATTGAGTCGAGGCAAGTCGTCCAGTCCAGTTGTGTTGTCTGGAAGTGAGGTCTACCTCTAGGAGTCGAGGCATGATCGAGCAACAGGAAGGCCATGATAATTTCTAGATAAAGATGCGAGTGTTAGTTTTGTATCATCCGGTGATATACATGGTAACGCAAATCACCAAGTCCAAAAAGTGGCACCAGAGCACCTTGAGTGCCTAAGCTGTTCAATTGGTAACTGTAACAAAAGGCAAACATGATTGTTAAACCAAAAAAGGGGTATAAGATTTCGAGCCTCTCTGACGCTGTCTCTCCCCTTTTCTCTCTCCTAGACTACTCAATCTTCGTCGAGCCCTGAACCAATGACATGTACAGGCATAGACGTATTGGTGTTTCCAACAGCTCCCTTCGACAAGATTCCACCCACACTCGTAGGCGCAGACATCACCACGCACTCAAACCCCGGTAAACTGGCTCTCCTCAAGCAGTCGCACCAGGCTCTTTCGCGCCTTCAGCCTTCTCCTTGCCCTCCTCCTCATTCCCATCCACATCCGACTTCTCTTCAACCTTACGATTCTCTTTATTCTTCTCCTTCGCTTCATCCTCTCCCACTTCATCATCTCCATCAACAGAGCCCTTAGCAGAGACACCCGCCTCTTCCTCACCCTCTTCCCCGCCCTCCTCCTCCTCTTCCTCCTCTTCGTCCTCTTCGTCGTCATCCTCCTCGTCCTCACCACCATCATCCTCCGCAATGATGCCATTCATGCGCTCCCACACCTCCCGTCTGATCCTATCATCCTTGGCCTTCCGCGCCCTCTCCACCTCCTCGACACCACCACTCTTCTTCAGCTTCCCCTCCTCCACAAAAGAGGCCAGCTCCTTCGTAAGCGGGTTGACCATCCTGGTCTGCAACTCCTTCTGCCTCAGCTTCTCCGCCCTCTCAATCGCCTCCAATCTGCTCTCATGATTCGGCTGCAAGGCACGCACCTCGCCCAGAACGCCCTCCTTCGCCTCGCTAGGGTCCGCAGACGTCACCTTCTCCGAGATGCTCTTCAGCCCGCGACTAAAGGCGCCAAAGGGCGTAGGGCCGTTGGACACCGATCCGTTAACGGTGTGTCCGCCCTCCTTCATTTGCTCCTTGGTTGCCTGCTCGACAAGCGCAAAGGTTTCGCTGGCCTTCTCCAAGTCGTCCCGCAGATCGACCATGAGATCTTCCATTAGGCGCAGCTCGTCGCGACCTTGGCAGACGTCCTCGAGCTCCTTTTCCCAGATCTTGGTCCAGATGGGCTTCTCCTTCTTCATGAACTCCTCCATCTGCTTGAGCTCCTTGGCGAGCTTGGTGATGTCCTTGGTGACGGACTCGAGCTGTCTGGGGAGCGGGCGGACGCCGCGTTGGACCACGTCCTTGCGGAGGTCCTCGACGAGATCTTGCAGGTCATCTACCTTGTTGACAAGCCGGTCACTATCGGCGTTGAGCAGTTTACGACCCTTGGTGACGTATGCGCGGCCCGACTCGCCATCCACTTCGGGAACGGACAGTTTGGCGGCGGCAGTTTTGACGTTATTGGCCTTGTTGCGGAGAGCAGTCATAGAGCCTTGGACTTCGGACTGGAAGTTGGAGTAGGTCTGACGAAGGACGGCGAGGTCGCGACGGAGGGATTGGATCTCGGTAAGCTGGCCTGGGCTGAGCTTCTTGGACGAGGAACCGGCAAGGGCACCAGCGCCGGCGACGGAGGAAGACGAAGAGCGTGGCGAAGCCGCCGAGTCCATACCACTTGGTGCCATGATAGTGGGCGGCGGGGTGGCGGCAATGCGAGCGAGATCCTTGGCAGTTTCCTGTTGGCGCTCCGACACACGTTGAATGGCGGCGTTTTGATCGTCGACGTTCTGCTTAACCTGTTGAATGATAGTCTTGAGGGACCCAATGCCCTCGTCAATATGCTTCTTGACTTCATCCAAAGCTTCAACATTCAACACAAGTACAGTGCGGTCCTTGATATCAGAGAGATCCTCGAGCTCATGGCGGACACCGGAGACGGGATCTTGAATGTAGATTTCGGGTAGATCAGCTCCGTTCTGTTGCGTGTTCCACGAGAACTTCTCGATAAAGGCCAGCTGAAGACGAGCAATGGACAGATCGTCGTAGCCTTCAGGGAGCACGAACTTCTTGACCTTGGACTTATACTGCAGGAAGAGGGTCAGTTCCTTGGTTGCTGGGGGTGAATTCTCGAGCATAAACGAGCTGGGCGGTTGTTTATCGGGAGTCGGGGCGCGAATGGAGGGCTTGTGTTGATGCTGAGGAGCGGCAGGCGCAGGAGCAGGCCTCGTAGCAGCGGGCTTAGGCGAGTCTACTTCATCCACCATCGGGATAGGATCCGCGAGCGGGCCATTGAGAGTGGCAATTGGAGCAGGATACTTGTCATCTGGCGTCTGGACGTTGAAGCTGTCGGCCCTGTTGAACGCAGGCGAATCGGCAGTTTCAGGCTCTTCAGAAACCCGGCTGGGAACTCGAACGGGAGAGGAATCGAGGCCGATGGTACGTTGGGACTGGTTCGAAGCATTGCGGTTGTGGCGGGCGTTCTCTCTTGTCTGCATTGCCCGCATCGACTCTCTAATCTCGCACCGGCCCCTATTAGGTATCGGCGTCGTCTGGGGTGGGAGCATGGGGATCCCACCCTGGGCGCCGAGATGCTTAGAGATCTGGTATGCCGAATATCTGCGGGAAGCTCGTCTTTCCAGATCACCTCCTCTTTGCAGAGCCGCCAAGGCACTCTGTTGCGATGCCTTGGGCGGCGGTGGCGGAGGAGGGAAGTTATCCACGTTGATTTCGGGTGGTGCCGGTGGGCCTGTAGGAATGGTATCTTCACCTGGGTAAGGCGCCATAACGGGCATATTTTGCATAGTGTTGCTCGACAGGCTGGACTGGTCAGAGGTGACAGAGCCGCGAGATTGATCGCGCTGTGTGGGAAAGCGTCTTGTGGGTGATGCCGTCGTAGGGCCAGAGTTCCGAGAATCGTCCCTCAGAGAGTCAGGCCGGTAACCATTGCTCTCGAGTCCTTCGTTCAACATGTTGGTGAGCCCAGAATTAACGCTACCCATGGTACTAGTACTTGTAGTTCTGGTGGGCACACCACTGCCGCTGGGGCCAGGTCCACCATGGCCTCCATCGTCTCCTGCGATGCTCGGCTGCCTGTCCCTTTGCTGACGCTGCCTTAGCTTTTGCTGTTTTCTCTTTAGACCATGCAGCAGATTTATGATAATATCACGTATCCTCGGCAGGTATTTTTCGAGACTTTCAGCGCTGGCTTCTTGGCTGAGGGTGGCCTCCAGGATGGTGCGCAACAGCTCGGGTACGTTGCCCAAGTCGTCAATATCGACATTGATGGCAGAAAAGGCCCGGCAAGCCATATTAAACTCGTAGCCCAGCCGTACATAGACGTCGGAGACCTGGGTATCGGTTGCGTTTCCGCGAGACCATTGTGTCAGGGTTTCGAGTAGTTGCTTGGTGGCAACAAGCAGGTGTGTTACGCTCCTTTCGATTTGCGACAGCGGGACAGACGACGAACTGCCGGATGACTGTTGTGTCAGATGGCATGGTTAGCAGCGAGCTGGTGATGGCGCGAAGATGATTACTCACATTATTTCGCCTTGTGCTCCCGCCGCCGCCGCTGCCGGGACCGCCGCCGGGGCCTTGAACTGAGCGACTTGAGCCAGCTGAAGACCTCGACATGCCAGCTTGGGCACCCATGGGTCCTCCCATTCCAACGGCGGGCGATATCGAGCGGGCCGGGATGTTGGGAGGCAGGCCACCACCACCGGGTTCGGTGCCCGGGGCAGGGGAGCGTCGCTGCATGGAGCGGCCGGGACCCGGGACGTTCATCATTTGCTTCGCTGCCTTGCTGTCCGATGAATGCGATTAAGCAAGCTGGTGGTGTTCGGGGCAAATCGACGTGTCGCGAGAGGAGACCAGTCGGAATGGCTTGTGTCGTCGGGTCGGTCCCTCTACCAAAGGTTGGGCTACCAGAGGTTGGGCAGAGATGGGAGATTCGACGGCGCGTAGATGATGGGAGCTATTCTAGAGGTCGTTTGGCGACAGGGTCTTGGTTGCTCAGTGACTCTTGTTTGTAAAAGGGTGATCGGTTTGACGGAGGATAGCAAGCCCTTCAGATGCTGGCGACGATGTTGCTGGCCGTCTCAATCAAGGCGGCGCATCCGGGTATGGTGGCGGGCAATGGGCGTCTCTAGAACGAAGCTTTGCGTTTGTCGATGGACAAATGTGACCGACAGTGGCCGTCGTCGGGGAATTGCAGTGGATTGGAACTTGGAAATCGCCAAATGGAAGCAAAAGTGGAGGCCGGCCATGTCAACGGCTCCAGTTGGGCTGCCAGCCGTGTTGGTTTGGTAAGATGGCACTAACAATGCATTATGTCAAGTCAGCGCCAATACGGTTAGTGAAAGCTGGGCACGGTAACAGCACATGACAGCCGCTTAGCCCAGAAGAGCGCCTGAAAGTGAGCACATGGCAAGAACAGGGGATCCTGAGGGGTAGCCGTGCACCGCGACAGGGTTGACAATAAGGTGTGCGCTACAAGATATTCATTGGCATGGTTCTCGACGACCACTCTAGGATTTCTGATGTTCAAGAAAAAGAAACATCAGCATGTGGAAAAGTACATCAGACTGTCCTGTTGACAAGGTACATTTGAGGTGGAATACATTTCTCTTTGTCAACCCTGAGCTGTGATTTTTGTGTAGCTCTTATGATCCCTTCAAGACCCGCTCTGGTAAACAAACCCGTGTTTCAAACATGGATCACCACCACCAAGATAATATATCTGTCAGCTTTGACCAAAGATAATAATTATAGCGGTATTACAAACTGTCATTCCATCTCACCAACATTTCATCAAGTGCCTTTTCTGTAGCACGTCATTGGCGTCGCATCCATGTGAAACACTAGCAGCAGAGCCAGGGAACGGGAAGAGGTCACGCAGACGGCAACTGCCGACCACCTCAGTCTTGGATCCATCTCTTCTGTTCCTTCCTCGGACGTCATCACAATCGTCGCTTCATCACCTTGGACTCTTCAAGTTCTTGGCGGTCTGTGAGAAGCGGAAGGCACGAGGCACCGGACAGAGTTTGGTTCAAATCCAGGCAACCTTCAAATTTCCAACCAGGTGCTCTTCAGCTTCAGGCTTCCGTTTTCAGTCCAACAATCGATGAACTCCTATCTGAGGGCATCCCCAGACTCACAAGGCCGGCCAATTTTTAACACCTTTTGACGTGATTACGACCACAGTACCAACACCCGAATAAGACTCGGTTCTGATGACAATTAGACGGACGCGACGCCAGAGGAGAACCGACATCAAGATTTCGAAACCGGCCGAGTGCCCCATTCTCATATAACCATCGGCGGCAACATCAGCATTACTCCCCTCTCCGTGGTCCATACATAACCATGAACTAACAGGAAGCAATTTGCTTTTGAAAACCCAAGCCATTCAGCAAAAGACAACCGTCTTATCCTACCTGGGCTCCTCAAAGGGTCCCATGATGCGCCGAATCTCCCTCGCCATAGTCCGTCGGGTCTCCCGTGGCTTTCGGGTCCTATGTGGAACCCGCACAAGAATATTGCCTTCCTGTCGCTCTTAAATCTGGAACATTTCCAGCCGAGCTTCCCTCCCATACTCATCCGCCTTTCCAGCAGACGAGTTGCTTCTGTCATCGACATGTCAGCCATCACCAGCGAGATGGGTTGTTATGGAGGGGAGAGGAAGTCAAGGTAAGGATCAGTCTCACTGTTTGCTGTTGGGCATTGCGCGCGAGATCTCAACAGATATTTCGCTGTGAATGTCTGGTTGAGGTAACGGACGGACGATATTTCTATGTTGAGCGCTGACGATGCTGCAGTATCGCAACTCCTCTCAACTCAGGGCAGCATGGCTTTTATCTTTATGTCAAGGCAGCTACTTACTGCATCGAACCCGGAAGACTCCGACTTGTACGGATAACAATAGACCTCGACGATACCCCCAATCGGAAAGAAATAACTCTGGGGCTCTTCAGGCCCCCATCTCTCTACACCAAACCATGCCCCATGTGGCGTGCCTAGGACGGGGTGCTGGCTCTATTGGAATCAGAATTCAGCTACGGATTCTGACAGCAGCCATACAACCAACTTATCTTGTTCATCGGCAATAGGTGTACGTCTTCCACGTGGATATGGACATAGGTTACTGCTGTTCTGTCTGCAAAACACGCGGCCACTTGACCAATCATCGACAAAACACCTACACCATCGGAAAGCCAGTCTGCCCACGAGTTTTACCTGATCAGGCACCCCGGGTTTTTTGAGGGCGCCTATGGTTTGAACCATGCGCATGGGTCTTACAGCCCTACCGGCTCACTAACCCTTGAATGGGCAGAAAGGGAATGTCGATTTCAAGAATTCCCCCCGTCACTGTCGTGCGACTCTGCTGGGTCTATTTCAGGCCGCCATATTAGCATAAGCGCAATGCATATCACCATCTCGTCATCCGATTGGCTTCGGCTCCAGAAGGCCAAGCGCAGCCGCGTGGATTGGAAAACACAATGGACTTGTGTCACTACCTTTATTCCTCTGCGGCATAGCTGTCATCTTTCTCATTGTCTGCCAAGTCCGGGGTCCATTGGGGGCTTGTCTTTTATTATTTCCATGCTCTCCCTTTTACTCAAGTGTGTTGACCTCGGGGCTGTTTGATGCCTATTTTTCCTTGTTAATGTTCTCTTGCGAGTCGAATATCTTTTGACCAGACGGGAAGTTCCAAGTATATCCTCACAGCACTACCGCATTGTGGCGAGCACATTTCACAGCCCGTTTTGTCGGCTTGGTTTAGCGGCGAGCCACGCTTCTGGGGTAGGACGGCTAAAGTATGGGGTGTGTTGCCATCCCTTTCGGTTGGATCAATAAGCGTGGCGGCGCGGCCCCTCCTCAGCCTTACGGAAAGTGAGCCGAACCGAGCATCAGTGCCGTCGGTCAGCACAAGTACTGACGGTATTCCCTTCCTAGTTGCCCAAGACAGATGCCGGATTCCTCGTGGCCAACCCCTTGAACCCATTGCTGACAGTTTATGGCCGAATTTTGTGGTCACTCGACAAGTGTCGTGCAGGGCTGCTGTCAGACGAGATAGGTATCGCACCATTCATCAAGAGAGAGAAGCCTGAAACTTGACACACGCCGCACAAATCATGTTGCCCGCAGGCCAGCATTAGGGAGAGGCTTCAACGAAGCCTGCATCAAGGGCCATCCTACACCATGATGAATGAGTTCTTCACATTGCCGAAACCTGTTCGTTTCCATTCACCCTTCTCAACTTCCAAACCTCGGGGCGGCGTCTAGTTACCGCGCCGACAAGGTGGAGGGTCGAACTCAGGTTCGGGACTTTGTCGACTTTGAGCATTTCGCTGGCGTGGCCACTTCACTTCACTTCACGTCTTTGTGGTTGCGATGACACTATCTGAGGCGGAATCAAGTCAAGGTTTCCTTCCAGCTTCGTTGCTGAAGTTCAGCAACATCAGAATGCCTTGGCGACACGCACCGAGGACACTAGCTCATGCCGCGAGTCCTTCACGATGCCTGTCCGTTCAAACCTCTTCAAGGTTTATAGGGCACATTGGGATCATGGTAGTGCCGTTTGGTTACCTGGCTGTTCTTTCTGTTCTCACAATTCCTCTTGTGCCGCTAGTAGTTAACCTTTCTCCAGTCCAGTGTCCGGTTACTTCCACCCAGGCTCTCATTCAACGGGTAGAGTAAGATGACCCCCTATATCCAGTCCTCTCTGCAGGTCCCAACCTCCTCACAAACCCTCTTCCCTCCACATAAACCCACCCATCCCGAAAACACTGGGGACACATCTCGTCGAAGCTGTTGAGCACTTGTCCATACGCGTCCACGAAAAAGGGAGCTTGTTGGTATTGGGAGGGGTGGCAATTATAGTCGCAGAGGAGGACGAAGCCCGGGCCGAATTCACACCCGCAGGCGAAGACACCGGGGTAGGGGAAGTAGAAACACATTTTTTATATATAGTATCTTGGAAGGAGGAGTTTATACTAGGGGTTATATTTGGGGGGTACGCTTAGATTAGTTGTATGGCTGTGGCTGTGGTTCTTGCTGGGTGATGGAGTTACTCGGACGTCTGATGAAGCTTGACGTGCAAGATTGAGGGTTCTCTACTCGAATCTGGTCTCGAAGGAAGTGGTTGGTCATGCTGGTAGGTAGTATGCAATCAGTTTCTGTCGACAGACAGGTGCCCTTACCATGAACACTGGAGAGTCGCGCATCTAAACACTCAATCTGTTTCCACGGCCAGTGGTTCAACAGTCGATCACAAGCTGCTTGTGAGCGTCTAAGGCTCGCAAGGCGGTGGTTACTCATGAGACGGTCGTTCACACGGCTGCCCCTGGGCAAGAGGCAACAAAGGTTTTCGACGTTGGTCCGCCTTACCTCTAGAAGGCGAGACCGCTGTGGGAAGTATACGTATTCCGTCATTTGTTCCCCGTCCGGCGTCCCGTCCCAAACGCAATCAGAGGCGTTGGCTCTAGATACCTATCGCGCGGCGGGCTATATGAGGCTTGATTGGATCCATTGCTGTTCCCTTTTTGCTATTGCTGTTTCCTAAGCGTTCCTCATAATTGGTGCGGCTACGGTCAGTCGATTTGTCTTGCTTTCCACAATCGGCGGTCAAGGGGTCAAACGATTGATCAGAAGGTGATCGTAGGTAGGCGTCTAATACTCGTAGAACGGTATATCACACGGTTGGGGAAGAGGTAACAAAGGCCTTTAACACTAGTCCGCTCTGGAAGGCGAAAAGCTGTAGGAATTGCCCCGTATTGCGGTAGCGCTATTCTTCACTCTTCGAGTTTTTCGGCATCGTAGGATGGCGTGCACATGCCTGGTAGCTCCGTGGTCTGTTCGCTTCCAACAGATACATACACCGAGTCACTGGGCTTACTCTTCCTTCCTTCCTTCCCCCCTTACGCGCTGAATTAACGGGGGG